TTTAATTTTTAAGAATTCTTAGGATTTATACGGTTGACCAAATTACGCTATGAAAAAAAAAATCTCGATTTTTTGTGTTTCGGGAAAATGATCATATTTTTTTTGCGATAAGATAGAAGGTAGGTATATTTGAGAAAAAGTTGCGCTAGTCTTACATTGCTAAATATTATCAAAAGACAAAACTTAAGAGATAGATTTCCTTAAAATACTTCTATTACGCTATATATACATATATATATATATATATATATATATATATATATTTGCATACTAAGGGATATCTTTATTTCACGCTTTCAGCGATTTTGGCCCAAATGTAAATTTCATTCGACTGTAAATATAAAATACCTAACACCTATCTAAAATTATTAAACTGTTAGAGTTTCGTATGGATTTTAACGGCGGCATCGTCTATCCCGTGGATTACGTTGCTAAGAGAATACCGTCTATCTAACGAAAAACTTTCTTCAATCGCTGTTTTGTTACGTCGCTTAGAATGTATACGCCGTGCTACCACAGGAAAAAATAAATTAATATCTAACTGATCATTTTGATTCTTAATGAATAAATGAGACAAATTGCTGACGAGCAGTCCAAGTAAGAACGTTATTAAGAATCCGAGTGGAGAATACCACATGTTCGAAATGCGATATAAATAAAAATACGAACTGTCGCCAGTGCTTCTGAAAAAAAGATACGATAATTCGTTAAAATCGCTTGCGTAGATGGAACGAATGGTTAGCTGAAATACAGAGAAATTAGAGTAGACACAATTCTGAAAGTGCTTAGCCAAATCGGCGAAGATTAAATTTTGAATTGAGACTATATGTACATTACGTTACTTTATTTTTATTTTTAATTTTTTTAATTAAAATGTCAGCAGATTATTTTGAAATGCCAGCAAAAATATAACAGAATATAATGCCAGATTAATCCAAACGGACTAGAATCTGCTACGCGCGCTTTATAACTATATAAATATTTTATTAATGTATAAATATCATAATATTTTAATAATGTGTACCATTTAAATGTTTGCAAAGAAATAGACTCTGCTTGATTTTTTTTTTGACAATTAATCTGCTTTCTCTTAGAAAATACAAATTTAATGCGAATGTAGACTATTTGATGAATATCTGAGCATCTCTACCAATTAACTTGTTATCATAGCGGACAATTTTCTTACTAATTGGAAATAATTATGTTGGAAATAATTATGTTCAAATTTATGTGCACGCTTAAGAACAATGATAATGCAGAGTTTAAAGTGTTTATACATGCTAAAAAGTCTAAAAACTAACTCAAACATCTTAAATACTCGTAATTATTTTAATATGCAACATAATTATTTTCAGATTGTATCTAATCTTTATACTTCATACTCTTCAAAACTTTTTCAAAAATCGTTCTTTTCGTGCAGTTATTATTCGATCAATCACTTACTTGGAAAAGTTTGTTACGTTCCGTAAATCAAACGTTATTATGTTTGTAACAATATTATCACAGCCATCGATAGTAGTAGGCAGTTTAGGCGATACAGGGCGAGGTTGACCGAAGGCGATCCAGACTAAAAATGAAAACGCCGTAAGACCACCGACAATCACACCGCTTTCCGTTGCCGATTGCGTCCCCATGCCAAGCGTGAAAACGCCTAACAACGGACCGCCAGTTATTCCAAAAATAGTGTGAAAGGCCTACGATTAAAAAAAATTAATTTTATCGCCATCGATTTTACGTTTAAAAATAATAATGAGCATTACCTGAAACAATCCGCCAAAAAATTGCGCTAAAAATGCCAGCATAATGGAAAAAATGCCAGACATAAAAGCGAGCACTTTAACGACGGAGGCCGATTTTTTAGGGGGAAATTCATGCCCGATGCATTTTCTATATATAGGTTTTAGAAAATCCTCCAGCATTATAGCCGCCATAGAATTTAAAATCGAAGAAATCGTGCTAAGGCTTGCACTAAAAATACCTAAAAATACGAGTACGCAGTCAAAGATTAATATTAAGTAGAAGAGGATGGGGCTATTCAGAACCCGGGAAACCTTTGCTATATCTCGAATACTGCATTACTGAATGTCAAACTGGATTTACCTATAGCTTGCGCCTTTTTAGCCTGACATTTATGGTTACATTTGGTAATGCAGTATTCGAGATATAGCGAGGATTCCGAATAGCCCCGTCCTCCCCTAAACATTACGTCCTTTTATTTTAAAACTATCTTTGTTAGTATCGGTCTACAATAAGGATTTTAAGTCCTAAGTAGTAAGAAATAGACCAATTATAGTCGAATATAAGGAGAATAATTGATTGTAATTGATCAATATCTTACGGTGTAAGTTTTTTTGTGGACGGACACTTTTGCATAAAAGAGAAAATCAAGATGACAATTGCAAACACATTAACTGCGTATTTTCATTTTAAAATTATCTTAAAAATACGTCTAAAATCATATCTCAGATATAGATACTTTCAGATATTTTTATTTTTATATGATATAAATGATATAATATAATTTTTATGAAACATATTAAGCTTAGGAAAAGATCAATTTGCGTTAAAAATATTACCTGCCACAAAGAGGCCTGGTAAACCAGATATATTGGACATTGTGTCCATAACATACAACGGCATAAGCATATCAGGTGACGTAATTCTTTTCTTGAGAAGTGGATCACAATTGTGGTATCTGCTGTACATCGCCAATCCTGAGAAGTAAATTGTGATCATCATAAGTGCCGTAATGAGCCAAGACAACCACATGGCTCTTTGCGAAGACTGCATGTTTCTAAAATAAAATTTATTTAATACAATTTTTTTCATTTTCTTCAAACGTAATTTTATCGATAAACATAATATGAAAAGAGAAGTTTATTTAATAAAGCAAACAGAAAAAAAAATTAAAATTATTTATTGACTATGTAATTATCATCATTTCAAATACTATGTATAAAGCAATTGCTCTATTTAATAATTTCTAATCTTATAAGTATTACCTACTCGAATTATGGAACATACTTAACAGTAAACATTCGTTGTATTTGTACTTGGTTTACTCCGAAAAGTATTAAATTTGTACATACACCATTCAGTGTAATGGACCACCAAGTATATTTTACTGTTGGATCTAAATCGACGCTGTAAAAAAAAACAAAATGTCAATTAATATTTATGTGTACACGATCGCCAAACTTATACTAACATAGAGAAGTAAGTACCTATCAAACTGGAGCCGTTGTCCTTGCCTCGCGATTTCCCATATCTGCCCCAATCCTCCGACATCATTTGCTGCTATGATAATAACTAAGAACATAGCGGTGAATATAAGTAAGATTTGAAATACGTCCGTTGTTAAAACAGCTTTAATGCCGCCTATACTGGAATAGAGGGCACATATGAAACCAATAATAATGATGCTAGCAATCTTGGAGATTCCTGTAGTTGCCTCCAAGGCTAAAGAAGGAGCATAAAGCATCATTCCTGAGTACAATAGCAGTTGAATCCAATTAACGAAGCTAATCATTATCCTAGCTCTTACTCCGAAACGCTTTTCTAAATACTAAAAGAATTAATATCCCTTTGAATATATCTGTTATTAAAAATATTCCGCAACAAAAATAAATTTCGCTAGATTTACCTCGTATATGCTCATCGCCTGCAAATTGTAAAATACTGGTAGGAATCCATAACAAACAATCGGAATGCTCAAAAGAAATGATAGATTTATTACAACATATTGTGTTCCGTACATATAATTTTCGGCTGATATAGCGAGCAGTCCAATTGCAGACGTAAAGGAGGCTACCATGGCAATAGCAACGGGTACGACACTCATTGATTGATTTGCAACAAAGTACTCCTACAAAACACGTTATATTTCATTATATCAAAATTTTTAAAAAATTAATCTTGTTTTAAGTAACGATTTTTAACACGAGAATAATGATGAACATCACCTGCACAGTTTTTTGACGTCCTCCACTAAATCTATAATAAATACCAATTCCTGTACTTATGGACAGCATCACCACTACAACTAGGTAGTCGATCCATTTCAAGGTATTTATTTCTGTCATTTTAGCTAAAATTATAAAATCAATATAATTATGTTGTATAAAAGAAAGGAGATATTTTTAAATATACCAGGGAAAAAATATTTCATATAAGTACATATATGTATATGTATATTTTTAATCATTTGTATATGATTATATATAAGCAATTTTTCTCATTTCTTCAAACTTAATTTTTTGTAAAAAAAAAACAATGTAAAAATTATCCTTTTAATTATTTTTATGATTCCTTCTTATTATTATCATTTTTTTGTATTAAAGAATAATTTTACAAAGGAAAGAACGTATATGGATATATATGGATATATTTTGCATATAATTATATATAATTATATATTTTATATATATTCTTATATGAAAAATTTTTTCCCGGGTAAATATAATTCAGGTAGAACATACCAATAAATTTTGTTGTCCACATGCAATAAAATTATTTTATTGTATGTGTGCTATTGTACAATACATATATATGAGCTATGTGTAACTGTATTTCGATTAATTTGCATAAATAAGCAAGACCCCCCCCTCCAACAACTAATTCTAAATAGACAGATTATACGTATAAGCATAGTATATTATAAATTTCTGATGCCAGAAAAGCAAAGATTTCATACATCTTCTATAGATCTAACACTAAACTGCCATCAGAAGTATGACAAAGCCTGCTGAGATGTTATGCCAGCAGATTGGCAGCATAAATCAAGCAAACTCAACTGACATAATCTGATGATCAAATTGGTAGCAGAATCTATGAAATACAGTCTGATGGCTGTAGAAATCGAGCAAA